CCAGAATGAACAGGAGCATCTGCATCTGAGCTGCTTTGCACATGGGTTTTATGCAAAATGAGACTTGTGTGGGATCGTTTTTGTTCTCTGCCATTGTGGCATATGGACTTGTACACGCAGTAGCCTTGTCTAGCAAGCGTTTGGCACAGACTTAACATTTCTCCTTTTTTGTTTCCTGAATTGCTGACATCTTTGTGTGAAAAGTGGCTGTTGGACAGGCGGAGGTTAAATACTGAACCAAAAAATTGTCTGAACAGCAGAATGTGTGTCCTGGTTTTTTTCCTTCATGGTGCTGGCATCTGCTTAAATCTTAACAGGATTAAGCAGGGCTGCCCTAACATACACAGTGCGTGCAAGCGGTGCATTCAGCTGATTCTGACACTGATAACCACAATAAATGACATTGATCTTTTCCCTAGAATTTTTTCCTTTTGTTTAAACCAGTTTTCTGACTTCTTGTGGGCTAATTCATGCACACAGGTTTCTGTTCCATCAACTTGAGTGTGTCCACCCCAGAGATAAACTTCTCTTGAAGAATGATGAAAGAATACTGGATTATGTTGCTGGTGACAGATACTCATCTCTAACAGTATTGGGCATGATGATAAAGTAATCAAAGCATTTTTTTATTTTTAAGTGAATGGAATGACTCCACTAATGCCCACTGTCAGTGAGGCTGATGAACTGGTTCTGAAAAACCAGAGGCACAGCCTAAAATCATCCACATGCCTTTGTTCTGCAGTAGAATGAATGCACAGCTGTCCTTTAAATAAATTTTAATTCAAAGGTGTTTGCCACTAGGACAGGGGGAAAAAAAAAGGGCAGGAGATTGGGGTTTTCTGAGAGCCATGGATCCCATTGAATACAATTTGAGATGATACTCAAGACAGAAATGGGTCCTTACAAGCTTCTAGCTGTGCTTACATGATGTAAGAATGCATTTCCTATTGTTTTTCCCTCCTCTCCCTTGCTAAGATGAGGGTGGAGATCTTGGTAGATAGCACACAGATAAACTGGTGGGATGAATGCTGTGTGAAGGTAGTGCCTTTATAAAATACAGCTACCATGGATGAGCTTAGCTGGTTTTCTGCAAAGCAGTTTCTTCCAAGATCTTAACTCACAAATCTCTATTCTCTCTCTTGCCTTAAGCAAAGAGATCAGTTTGGTTTGCCTTCTCAGCACAGTACTGAGAAAAAGAGTTGCAATGGATCTTGCTCTGTGCTCTAGTATCGTATCACCTGGCTATTTTTTTGTCCGCTTCTAAAAGGTCAGATCCTTTTGCTGACATTAAATGTGTTACAAGGTCAAATAAATGAATGCTCATTAAATACTTTTGCAGAAACCTGTGTGCAGCAGATGATTTGTGTTAGCGTTTGTTTCTCTGTTAGATAAATGCAGTCGTAGTGTTTCCTGTTTACTCACTTTTCTAGAGCGCTGATGCTTAGGAGGCCTGGACAGAGCAGTCAGCAAACAACAAATTCAGGTGTTACTGTTTATATTATTCTGGTTGGGTATAATCTCTATCTCCATTTGGCTTTGAGGATGCCTGTGGACTTCATTCTCCAGCTTTTGTGCTCTGGTGTTAGGCAGCTGATCAGAAGAGAAATGGTTTGGCGTTACAGCATAGAAGAGAAGTGGTAAAACTGGTGGTTGGTGTATTTACCTGTCTGTGCTGAAGAAGAGAGAGAGGAGATTGCACCATTTCATTACAAATCAATGAAATATAAGGTTTAAACACAGTCTGTTTAAACTGAAATTGGGTAAAGTGATTGCAAGCCCTTCCTTTCCTCCAGATGGTCTGTCCAATGTAATCTATTTCTTTCAGACAGGGTTGGTGCTTTGCCTTGGAATCCAATTGTGTTTAGCTGCAGAAAGAGCACACTTAGTCTCTTGCTTCCATGTACTTGGAGGACAAGGCACATGTCTCTCAAATTTCAGGTTCTGAGATCTGTTACAGCTGGGATACAGTGCATGGTACTGAATCAGGGGCTTGAAGTTTGGGGATGGTTCTGTTGTCTTGTGACTGTAAAGGTTGGCACTTGGTTAGTTCAGGAAGGCAGGGATGCATTGCTTTTACTTATATACGTAAAACCATTTTCTGCTGACTATATGCATATATAGTCAGCAGAAAATAAGGAAGGATTCTGCTTTGGTTTGCATCTTGCTTCTGCCCAGTTGCAAACTTAGGGTTCAGTCCTTGAAGTGCTCCTCTCCTCATTACTGTCTAATGCAAAACTAACTCAGATTTGACAAAATCATGGTGCACGTGGAGAACTGGGACAGGGTACAGGTGAAAGTTCTTTCCCTTACTTCTCTGATCAGTGTAAAAGACATGTTGAAATCCAGAGGCACAGCTATGTACCTAACAGTGCACAGGCAGTCTGCTTAGCTATGGGTTGACCAGATAAATTGCAGGCAAGACCCCTTTTGACTGAACAAGAGGAGGTCTAGTTTCTAACCAGCTGGGAAGTGAGCCCTTCTGTGTCAGGATGGGTCTTCCAAAGCTCTCACTGTAACTTTAATTGGAAAAAGTTAATCTGATTAGTTAGTGTTTGTGAAGAGCTTTAAGGATGAAAAGCACTATGTAAGTTGCTAACTATTTTGATCATGATAGATATGCTTTATCAGCAGTTTGCTGGATGAGTAAGACTCTCTTTTTTCCCCCATGTGTCTGTAAGGGAGCCTTCTGGAAAGCAGAAGAAAAATATTTCAGAGATCGGGGAAAATGATATCCTGTTGTCTTACTGGTGTCTGCCTCCTATTGAGCACTGTGCATGGTCATAATGCAGTGAAGCTGGCTGCTCCAAATGATGCCCATGTAGGCCGATGACAACCCTCCAGTATAGTGCTGGTAGGAACTGGTTACTGGAAGGCTTGCAGATGACATGCCTAGCTTTTGAGGGTTGTCCAGCTGGCAGCAGGTTCAGTGGGTGATGCTTTCAGAAACACTGAAGCAACTTGGATACCTTGAATCTTCTTTTTCAACAATGACAAGACAGCTTAGGAGCAGAAGTGTTGAAGATGAGGTTCTGTAAATGGCACTTCAGTACATAAGCGATGAGGTGTTTTTGCAGATCTTGCTGTCTCACGGTGGTCACGAGGGTTGTCCAGCTGGCAGCAGGTTCAGTGGGTGATGCTTTCAGAAACACTGAAGCAACTTGGATACCTTGAATCTTCTTTTTCAACAATGACAAGACAGCTTAGGAGCAGAAGTGTTGAAGATGAGGTTCTGTAAATGGCACTTCAGTACATAAGCGATGAGGTGTTTTTGCAGATCTTGCTGTCTCATGGTGGTCATACATGAGGCTTTCCAGCAAACAGCAGTAATGGATTCACAGTCTGATTTTTGTTGTTTTCAAGTATGACTTGGACAGTTTTGTCATGGCTTGATACTTGTAACCAATGCTAACACTGGTCATGAGATTGCCTAAATGGTCATGAGATTGCCTAAATCGGATGCTTATGAATTCTGTAACAATTTTCTTGGGCCCTGCTTTCAGTTCCCTGATAGACTTTCTGATTTCTGTTGAGCTGCTTTGACAGTTTCCCTTTTAGCAAGGCAGAGGGATGTATTTGCTTAGAGTAGCTCCAGTCCAGCCCTTCTCTGCAGCATATCTTGAGCCAGGTGTGGGGCTGGTGCCTTTCCTAGGAGGGTGCATCCTACTGGGCAGCAGCAGAACCTGCTTAGCACGCAAATGCCAGGGAGCTGTTTTAGTAGCATAGTGACCTGGGCTGGCTTTATTCTAACCTGGAAGATTATCAGCTATGCTTCAGGCATGTTACTCATCCCATCTTAGAGACCAGCTCTTAAGCTCTTGTACTTTGCTGGTTTGTTCACTTCAGGAATTTCCATTGTGGGTCAGGTGTGGGGGTTTTACATCTTGGTTTTCTTATTTTAGGGGGTGGGGTGTGGATGGTATTCAAGTATTTGATACACAAAGTGCAGACTGAGGGACTGAGCAGGGTCTTATGTTTTATGGAAGGGAAAATCCTCATGGGAGGAGCAGCCAGAATTCATAATTAATTTCTAGAGCATGCATACACGCCATGTGTCGGGGAGGGAGAGGAGCTGCCTCCTTTATCCTTTATGCTGCTTCTGTCCTCAAAAGAAACATTTGTAGCTGGTAAGGCTCATAGATGTGGGATCTGAAAAACTAATTCCTGCCAAAGAGACCCAGACTTGAACTGCCTTGCAGGCTCTGTGAGATGATGTCAGATTGTTAAAAAGGTGTTTCCATCCTGAATAGGATTTTTCACTGTCTCTCACTATCAAGAATAGTCATCAAAGGCTTCTCCTTATTTGACTGCTGTCAGGTATTCTGAGTAAAGAACAAAACTAGGGTGCAGTTTTTATAGAGTAGCTTCTACATTCAGAACTTGCAGGGAGACATAAAAGGAGAGTGTGATGAAGTAATCCTTCGTTTCCCATGTGGAAACTAGGGCAGAATGGAGAGAAGAACTGGTTTGGCGACTCATGTACTTTCCTGGTGGCTGAGAAAACCCATGTCCAGCTCCAGCTTTTCCATGGGTTTCCAGAGTGTCACATTAGTGAGTTGACAGGACAGCAGCTGGCAGGATCCTGACTTTCTCTCTAGCTAACAGAGCCCATCTTCTCCAAGGGGTGGTGCAGAGTGGGACCTTGACATGTGCAGTTCCCCAGAGGTGTCTGGGAGACTAGGTTTGATGAAAGTCATCTTGGCATCTCTGTGCATCTCTAGTCATTTCCAAATCGATTAAGTCTTGGAAGAATGAATAGAGGTTGTAAGCATTGGAGTGATAGGAAGATGGTAGACAACAGAAGCAGGAAGATGTGAGGACAATCAGCAAGTCAGTGGCTGAGCTGTGAATACAAATCTGCCTGCCTTGATCTAATCCACAGACATCATGGCTGCTCCGATTCTTCCCTGCTCTCTCGATCTAACCCTAGATCATCCTGTGGGTGAGGAGATCATTGCCACCTTTGTGAGCTGAGTGTTCCGTCTCTGTTTTTTTGCATGCAGGTCTGTGTGAAGTCCCCCATTCCCTCTGCCCAGATCTCTTCCTCTGAAGCGGTCACCAGCGTGTGGAGCCTGCCCCACACCCATCACCTGCCAAACCACGGCCTTTACCTGTGTCTTCCGGTGTTTCCCGTGCGACCCGTCCTGCGGGAGTGCCTCCTGGGCCACCCCAGAGTTCACACAGCACTCAGTGGCTCCAATGGTGAAGATGACAAGGTCCAAGACTTTCCAGGCATATCTGCCTTCGTGCCACAGGACCTATAGCTGCATTCACTGCAGGGCTCATCTTGCCAACCACGATGAGCTCATTTCCAAGGTACGTGCATGACCTCACCCGCAGGTGCTGGGTGGACGCCTGCTCCCTGGGAACGGAAGGGTGTGTTTGCTCACGCTGCAGGTCACTTGCTCTGGAAGTGCCTGGTCTTAACTGGTACTGCAGTTTTTGCTTGGAAAATGGGCTTTCAGCCTAAAGGATCTATTTGTGAGCTGCTGGTTTTGTTTTGAGTGTTCTTGAAAATACCTGTAGGAACAGGATTCAAAACTCAGGCCTCTGGAGTGCTTACAGGTGATCTGTCTCTGCTCATGATACTGCCTCCTCCCTCTCATTTCCAGCTGTAAAACTGCACTAACTGATGCGTAGGACTGTGTAAATTACTTTCCTGACTCTTCTTCTTCATATACATACTTGTCAGCACAGCCAAAGGGTTGTTGCATGATTATGATTTGGAGGTGAAGTGTCTGGAGATGTTTTCCCTGTTAACCTCTGAACTGTACTAAACTACACTAAAGCCCCTACTTAAGGGAAGGTTCTCTGATGCTTCTACTGAAATGTAAGATGGATTTCCGAAGACTAATGAGTTGTTGCTCAAATCCTCTAATTTTTTTGCCAGTTTGCTAACAAGATGCTTTGCAGTGAAAAAGCAAGGGATGGATTGTAGGAGGTGCTCTGAGCAAGGGATGGTGGAAGGATTCTGTCCTGTCTTCTGATCTGTTGATCACAAAGGCAAAGGTCTTGAGAATAAGCTAAATTAAAAGCTTTCAGAGCCAGTAAGTTAGGGGCCTTTGATGCAGAGGGAGCAAGCCAGTAAGAGGATCTCTTTCTGAAGTGTGAAAACTAGACTTTCTTGGAGTGTCCATTGGAGCCTGCAGTGCCAGGCTGTGGCCAGGCACCAGGTCTCTGGGTTTTGACTGCCTTGGCAATCAACTGTTCCATAGAGTTTATTCAGCTAATAAAATGTGTGTTCAGAAGTGCACACGCACCATAAGATTTATTAGCTGAGATGAGAGGAAATAGTGCTGTGAGCTGTGTGCATGTGCAGCTTAGACCAGTTAGCTTCCTGGAGCAGCTTTAAGAGAAAGGCTGGGATCACAGAGGACAGAGGTGCTTTGCCCGTTAGAAGGTGTGTAGTGCTGCTTCTCTTCCTGTTTGCAAAGAAAATACTGGAACGTATCACCTTGCGCCAGTGGCGTCTGTCTTTACAGGGTCAACACCTTAGCAGCTGTGGAGGTCCCTTTGGACCTCTGAGTTGGGTCCTCAGACCTGTCGTCTTCCATTGGAAGCTTTCTCCCTCCTTTTTTCTCTTGGTTGTTGCATGAACCAGGTTGATGCATACCTCTGTGATGCTGTCTCTTATGGCAGACAGCTGATTTTGAGTATTCTGATATGAATAATGCTGATTGCAGACTGCTGCTGTTTTGGGTTTTGCAGTTTCTGGATAGACAGGCTTCCTATTTGGCTATCACCTCTGAGTCATTCTGGGACTCATGGGGGCTTCTCTTGTTCTGGTACAACTGCAGTGGTTCTGAGCAGAGCTGTCCTTGAGGACCACAAACCCTCAGGCTTTTAAAGAGCAGAAGGTTGTACATTTCCTCAACAGAAATAAGTTTTGAAATGGAAATGTCAACAGCAATCTGTGCCCAGGTCTGGATATGAAATACATATGACCTCTTGAATCAGCTGTGTGACTTCAGACTCCTGTGCTCAGCTGAGATATCTGTAAAATGGGGTAGTCACTCCCCTGCCTTCCATTTGGGAGTTTGTTACCAGCTGGATTCTGTGTTGGAACACAGAAGATGCTGTACTGGATAAAGAAGGTGGCTTGTTTTACTTACCGGCTTTATGGTACATTAGAGTTTGTGCTCTGTTTTATTTTGACATAGCTGGTTCCCAGCCATGGAAAACACAAGGCTGTGCATGCCCAGTGGTTTCACCTTAGATGTTTCCTTCCCCTCCTTGTTCCATGTCTGTGCTCCTTCTGGTCCACTGGGTGATGCAGCCAGCTTTGCTGGTAAGGAGCTTCCAGCAGAGCAGTGCCATTGCTGCAGACTGCTTGGAATTTGAGCTTCTAGCCATTGAGGCATGCAGAAACTGCCCAAAAATGCTGACTGCTAAAGTATGGACACGGAAGGGAAGGTATGAAAGCACAATGTGAGGCTCTGTACTAAATCATGGAAAGTATTAACTCCAGGGCTGCTGGAGCACTAGAGGGTCGTGCAACTTGAATGCAGAGGGTTTGGGGTTTTAGGTTTTATTTCTCATAGTTTTAAACCTTAATAAGATACATTCTTTGTATAATTGAAAACCTTATGAAAGTAATTGTGCAATCATAATTTGTACAGCTGGCTATTAAACTGAACAAAAGGGCAGTCCCTGCCTCAAGAGGTTTCCAGTATGTGTAGAAACTTTCCCAGGCAAACTTAAACAGTCATCTTTTATCTGTTTGAGTTAGGTTTTAAACATCTCCCTGAGGCCTTCTGCAGTTCTTTCATCACAGGCTTATATATTAGCATCTGAGAACTCAGCATTGCAGTTGCCACGCTTGCTTTCCATACGAAAATGTAGCAAACGGAAGGAAGAAACAAGCACCATAAGGACTGAAAAGGGAGTGGGAGATTTTGTCAAACCCGACTGTTTCTCAGTCTGCAATGTATCTCATCTTGGACATGACTATGTCACTTTAATAAAAACAGCCCAAATGACACCATCTTTGGAAACGTTCCCCAGAAAACAGGCTTTTATGTAACAGCAGGGTGTTGGTGATTTGGCTTGATGAAATTAATTCCTCTATTCCTTTTGCCCCAAGTTGTGCAGAGACCACATGAATGCTGTGCTGCTTTGCATGCCATGAGCTTTATAGATCCTTTGGATACATACAAGTTGCAGCACTGGCTCGTGCTGTCGGCTGAAACACAAGCTGGAGCTGAATCCCAATATTACTCTGCGTCTGTCCATGCTTTTCAGCTCCAAGTTTTCCCTCTTAGTCCTTCAGCACCAGTGTTAACTTACTCTGGCTTCAAAGCATTTTGCTAGGACTGAGTATCCAAAACTCTTTGACAAATATGCCTTTGCAGGTCAGTTTTTGCTTTCTTTTCTATTCTACTTCAGGAAAACCTTGTGCATTAAAATGGGTAGAAGGTTTCTCAATAAGCCATTGCTATTTAAAGAAAATAATCGATGCTGGGGCTTTTAAGAAAATCCAAAGCTGTTATATGAAGCCAGTTACCAAAATGTTACCTGCTTACTTGGCCTTTTATCTTCTGCAGCCAGAGGGAGAAAGTGATTTAGTGTGTCTGATTTGTAATAAGATCTAAATTGTGGGTTGGATTGTCTGGCCAAGAAAGGTCTTACTGACTTAGGAAATATAAGGTGATCAGATAGATTGGGTGGAGTGAGTAACTAGTTTTCCTTTATATGTTCCTTTGGTGTCTGGGTTAGCGTAAGTGGAGGTTCTTGTTCCCTTGTAGCAATGCATCATTTAAAAATCTGTGCCGAATTTAGCACATGCTCTTGTTTCATTGCTTTTTCCAAAGCCTAAGTGGACTGAGACTTTGGGATCTCAACCTTGCCCTGCAACAGATTCCTGTGTGACCTTGAGTAAGTCATTTGATGCCTTTGTTCCTCCTTTCCCCACCTGTACAATTGAAATGCTGCTGTTTAGTCCAGTGTGCTTGGAAAATAAAGCTCTGGAGCAGGTACTGTCTGCTCTTATGAATTAGTACAGTGTGTCCTAATCCTCTTTGGCTTTACTGTAAAAACAAGAATACCATTCCAGGCAACTGTAGTTAAAAAGCACATTTCAGTGTGTTCTGATTGCCAAAAAATAAGCGAAATGTACTTGTTGCTACATTTATCCTTCCCAGGCACAACATCCCATTGTTTTTAGAATCTATTTTCAATACTCAATGGTGGCAAAACCTCTCCAGGAAGAAGGTAGAGGGGCTTTTCCTGAGAAATGTGCCTTCTGCATCATTTTCTACTGGGGCCTGGGGGAACAGCTAACATAATAGATGTTTGACAGAGTAAATAGCATCTTTTCTGTTTCTCAAAGTGGTAGATGTGGTGCTGGGTTCTACCTGCTCTGTGTTCTTCAGACTCTGTCAGCCTTTTTTGTTTGAATTCATATGTACTTAGTGTCCAGTAGAAAAGGATGGGAACAAGAGCAGAAAGACAGAGGCCAAACACAGCTATGGTGGTGTTTTGGTTGCTGACTTTTTTTGCTGTGTGAACAGTAATTTAGCAGAAATGTCCCTGATTATGGAAATATGTCGAGAATGTCTTGTGGGCGTCCTGCAGTTTCTTTTTTTCATGAATTACTGTGATCCAACTGCTGAACATTATGCAGTGATGTATCCTCTGAAGTTAGCCTAAGGCTTGCTGAGGGAATTTAATGTTTTCCTTTGATGTCTGCATGGGACCCTTACTGAACATGGATATGAAATCCTTCAACACAAAAGGCTGCAGCTCCTCCAGCACAGAGAATTTAGAAAAAATACAGATTTGTGTGTGCCTGACTTTCTCAGTTGGGGTTAGATTGTTAGCTAGGGAACACTTAGAAGCTCTCTTCTCTATCTTCTCAGATAAGAGTTGCAAGGTTTATAAGCAAACCTCGCTCCCAGTCATTGTGACCTAGCTGCTTCCCTGGCTAGCAGACTGCTGGAGCCTGAGCTTGTTGGTACAACAGGCTCTTAGTGAGCTTTATGGAGCGCTGAAAGCATCAAACTTTGCTCCATGCTGCATGTTGGGGATCCTAAAAGGGTTTGAAACTTTGGTGCTGGCTTTCAGAGAAGTTGTGGATGAATTCAGCTACTTTTAAAGTATTTGATGCACCATAGGTGAAGGAAGCAGCAATTGTTGGGGGATTTTGTCTGGGGGGTTTGGGGTGGGGGTTCTTATTTGGGGGGGGGGGCTTTTTTTCTTTCTGAGTACATGGGCAAGATAGCGTGTCATGTTCTTAGTGCTTTACTTCTTATGAACCAGTTGATATTTGTATGTCAGTTTGCCTTGAAGACATGAAGTTATTTGCTGGCTGGGGGAGC